ATTATTAAAAATAGCTGACCTGTGGTAAATTTCTGGCCACAAAATAGAGCGAAACACCAACGTTAAAGACCTGGGAGTGATTATGTCGGAGGATCTCACCTTCAAGGACCATAACATTGTATCAATCGCATCTGCTAGGAAAATGACAGGATGGATAATGAGAACCTTCAAAACTAGGGAGGCCAAGCCCATGATGACACTCTTCAGGTCACTTGTTCTATCTAGGCTGGAATATTGCTGCACTCTAACAGCACCTTTCAAGGCAGGTGAAATTGCCGACCTAGAAAATGTACAGAGAACTTTCACGGCGCGCATAACGGAGATAAAACACCTCAATTACTGGGAGCGCTTGAGGTTTCTAAACCTGTATTCCCTGGAACGCAGGAGGGAGAGATACATGATTATATACACCTGGAAAATCCTAGAGGGACTAGTACCGAACTTGCACACGAAAATCACTCACTACGAAAGCAAAAGACTTGGCAGACGATGCACCATCCCCCCAATGAGGAGCAGGGGTGTCACTAGCACGTTAAGAGACCATACAATAAGTGTCAGGGGCCCGAGACTGTTCAACTGCCTCCCAGCACACATAAGGGGGATTACCAACAGACCCCTGGCAGTCTTCAAGCTGGCACTGGACAAGCACCTAAAGTCAGTTCCTGATCAGCCGGGCTGTGGCTCGTACGTTGGTTTGCGTGCAGCCAGCAGCAACAGCCTGGTTGATCAGGCGCTGATCCACCAGGAGGCCTGGTCACAGACCGGGCCGCGGGGGCGTTGACCCCCGAAACTCTCTCCAGGTAAACTCCAGGTAAACTTCTGGCACCTGCCTCTATAGGCTTATTACCTGGAGTTTACCTGGAGAGAGTTCCGGGGGTCAACGCCCCCGCGGCCCGGTCTGAGACCAGGCCTCCTGGTGGATCAGAGCCTGATCAACCAGGCTGTTGCTGCTGGCTGCACGCAAACCAACATACGAGCCACAGCCCGGCTGATCCGGAACTGACTTTAGGTGCTTGTCCAGTGCCAGCTTGAAGACTGCCAGGGGTCTGTTGGTAATCCCCCTTATGTGTGCTGGGAGGCAGTTGAACAGTCTCGGGCCCCTGACACTTATTGTATGGTCTCTTAACGTGCTAGTGACACCCCTGCTTTTCATTGGGGGGATGGTGCATCGTCTGCCAAGTCTTTTGCTTTCGTAGTGGGTGATTTTGTGTGCAAGTTCGGTACATCCCTCTGGGGTTTTTCCCAGGTGTATAAAATCAGTACTCTCCCTCCTGCGTTCCAGGGAATACGGGTTTTTAGGAACCCACCGCTCCCAAAAATTTGGGGTTTTTATCTCCGTTATGCGGCCGTGAAAGTTCCTGTACATTTTCTGGGTGGGCAATTTCCCCTGCCTTGAAAGGTCTTTAGGGCAGAAAATTTTCCGCCTAGATAAAACAAGTGACCTAAAGTGCACATGGCTTGGCCTCCCTATTTTTAAAAGGTTCCATTACCCCACCCCTGCTTTTTTCTAGCAATCGATTGTACAATTTATGGTCCTTGAAGGTGAGTCCTCCGACTATCACCCCATCTTTGACGTTGTTTTCGCTCTATTTTGTGGCCAAAATTTTTTTGTACTCTGATAAGTTTTAATTTTCCTCATGTTTACCATATCGAGAAATTGAAATTTCTCATCGTTGAACTTCATAGTTTCTCAGCCCACTAAAAGATTTGGTTGATGCTGCCGGGAGCTTTGCAGTGTCTGCAAGGGAAAGACACTGTCATGCAGATCGGTGTCATCTAAAAGGAAGACAGGGTGCTGTGGCAAAACACCCTTTGCTATGTCGGATATAAGGATGGGGAAACAAGATGGAGCGAGTACGTGCCTTGTGGAACGAGTTTTCACCGTAGCTCCTCGACTTTATCGTTGACGACTACTCTCTGTGTTCTGTTATGGGGAAAATTTATAGATCCATCACCGATTTTTCCTTTTTCCTTTAGCACGCTTTTTGTCGCTATTACCCATGGTCACATTTGTCAAAGGGTTTTTGCAAAGTCTTATAAAAACATCACTTCATTTAAAAATTTCCCTTTTTTCCAAATGACATTTTAGCCTTTATCATCTATATACTAGGGCCACTGTAATATACACATACACTAGTATTTATTTATTTAATTTTTTATTTTTTAAAAATTTGAGCACACATAAAAGGGTACAAAAAAATCAGATAAGAGCGCATGCCAAACCCACTTATACTATGCATAGCTTAAAGGGCGGGCTTAAAATTAATTTAAGATTAAAAGCAATGATGAAGTCAGTGAAAAAACATTAATGTAAACAGATTACTATAAAGCACAATAGTATTACAAAGACAGGTCATAGGTTGCATTTATCAAGAAGGATTTTTTAGTAGTGTATTTAAAAAATAATAAATTTAATTCGGTTTTGGGTTTTAACTTTTATGGATATAATTGGGAAAAAATTTTAAGAAATACAATTTAAAGGTTCAGTTATTCGTATTTATTTGGTTTTGGGTGAAAGTGATCTTGAAAAATTTGAATTTAAAAAACAGGTAGGTTTCTTTTATTTTTCAGGTAATGAATTCCAGATTTTTAGGGCCTTTATTGCATTTGATTTTTGCATAGGGAGATGAAACGAGGAACATAAAAGAGTGATCTGTGCCTTGTGTTATGGTCTTTTTTCTGTGATTTTGGCAAGGATTTTTTGAGGGGAGGGTTAATATCAGTTAAGTGTTTCTAGTATGTAATGGGGTCAGTAATAAATGGATGTTTGAGGGTGATAGGTTTAGTGTATTGAATATTGGGGAGTGGCTGCCGTATGAAATTTTTGTTACATTCTAACTGCCCTTTTGTTGGGTAATTAGGGGTTGAGATGGTAATTTTGTTGGGGGCCCCATGCACAAATTCCGTAGGTGAGATAGGGGAAAATAAGAGAGTGATATGGGGCCGGAGGGCGACGTGGAACATAGTACCGATTTTGGGATAGTATGCCTACGGCTTGGAAAATTTCTTAGAAATTTTTTGATATGGTATGAAATTTGAGTCATTATAAAGGGGGGTTTCCTAAGAATTTTCCCTCTTTAGTTTTTGTGATAGGTATCCTTTTAAACTTTAAAAGTTAAGAGGGACTCTGTAGCTCTTTTTACCAAACTAAGAAGTGGGTTTTTGTAAATTTTTTATGTAATTTTGTTTAGCCTCCCAGGTAGATTTTTTCTGAAATTGGGATTTACAGATTGCTATTGACGGGCTCGGTGAGAGAAGCGTTTATGTCACTGAAAATAGCTGGGTTTTGAGAAATTTGCGAACATTTGGAAGGTCTTTATTTAGGAGAAAGAGAGAGGGCCAAGGACCTTCCCGTGGGACCCCAACTGTAATTGGTTGCGCAAAGAGTTTGCCCCATTTGCGTACACTTTTTTTGGCTTCTGTTGCTGAGGTATGACTTGAGGATTTGAGGAGGCCCTCTTATACCAAGTGTGAAAATTTTACGTGGAGCAATTCAGGCAACTGTACAAAAGCTTTACTAAGTCAATAAAAATCCCCAGGGGGACTTTTTTTTTTCTCTTTTGCAGTGTATATATTTCTCATGTGTATAATAGCTCATAGTATTTTTATTGGGCCCTGAATCCAAATTGGCGGGGTTATATTTTTGGGGGAGATAAGGGAGGAGTAGATTCGTTTTGAATTAATTTTCAAAGTTTTTTGAGAGAGGGTAAGTTGGATATTGCCTAAGTTTAAACCTGTTGGGGTCTCCCCCTTTTGGGGGACGGGTGACCCTTGCATTTTGAGACGAGGGAAGGGGGGATTCATGGATTTGTTAAAGGGGTTTGAATGATTGGAGATAGCACTTGTGACACTTTTTTTGTATAAAAAGGGGTGGTAAGGTACTTAAATCTCCTGCCTTTTTTTTTAGTGCATTGATAATAAGGGAGACTTCTTTGGGTTTTAGCCCGGAGCTAGGAACATGTGTTCGGGTATTTCCGGGTGAGGTAGTCATTTGGGGGGTACTGGCTTGGGTTTTTTATTGGAAAGGGTTTTTTGTCCATGGGGGGGGAGAAGAAATAATTTGAGTCTGTTTGCTTTTTCTGTTGGGGGATTGGGGGTTCTCTGTTTTTTGCAATTTTATTTCGCTATTTCGTGATATCTTTTTTTTTCCCGTTTTTTCTGTGGGGTTTTCCAGGTCTTTTTTAATCACCCGTAATTTGGGATAATCTGTTATCGGGAACTTTTCTTTCCTCTACAAAGAAAAGTTCTATTATATTATTTTGCACAGGGAAACCGGGCCCATGATTCCTCTCGGGCATAAAACTTCTTCTTTTTATAAAAAAAAAAGGAAAAAACATCCGTATTGGCCCCTGCTTAGGGGGGATGGGACATACACAGATGAAGTCAAAAAAGGGTGAAAACTAAATCCCAATATATCAATGTTCACGAGCCACTGCCCACCTAAGGGTCGAAATCCAAAGAATTCTTTATGAACGAAACCCAAAAATTTGGTCTTTCCAAAGCTCTCAATATTATTATAACCCCAAAAATTTTTGAAGGGGCAATTAAGACATGCCCATTCTCAAAAATACGGGGAACCCCCTTGCCCCATGCATGTCAGGGAATTGATGGGGAACAGTGAGAAAAGAAAGCGAATGCCAAGAAGTTCCTGTATAGACCCAGTGCTCCTACTGAGGCTCGCAGGACCCTATGCAAAGCCTATAAGAACATAAGAAAGGAGGAACACTGAAAGGAAGGCCTGTTGGCCCAACTGGCAGGCCTTTACAATTCATAAATTTAAACCCTGAATGCCTTCCACACCCCCCCCCCCCAGGGCTGTAAAATCCCCGGGTTTTTGCCTTCCCCCTTTGTTATAATAATAATAATTTACAATTCATCCCACATTCAATGCCAAGGGGAACGCTTGCTCTTCATGTACTCTGCCTTAAAACAAAAAACTGAAAGATAGACTGCAAACACCCAAACAAAATCGTAAGACATCCGGGGCTGGACCAAGAGACATGTGGGCCGAAAAATTTACAGCATTTGGATATGTTGAATTTGAAGACAAGTAAAACAACTAAAGAAAAACATTTATAAATTTTTCTCACAAACGTGTCCAGAATTTTTGCTTCAGTTTTGCAAGTTGGAAACCAAAGCAATCATAGTACTAGGGGAGGAGCACAACTTTGTTGTACCCCACATTTTGGGGCCCGGGTTTCAAACACCTTTTATTTACAGCAATAAAGAAGGAACAGACTGCCCCACATGTCAAAGCCAGTCTAGCATAAACCATTTCAAAAGAGTGCCAAAAGGTGTCTGATAAAGGGGGCACAAAAGGGGGGGGGAATGTTTTTCTTTTTTTTTAGCAACAGCTGAAAATTTTTTAAAACCTTATCCCTAGTAATGCCCTCGATTGTAGATATCTAAATGACCCTCTTTAGTAGATAGTCTTTTATATATAATAAAAGTATGATAATAAAAAAAATTTTATAACCTTTATTTTAAATAATAAGGTAAAAGGACCCCAAGGGAAATAAGTCACTCTGCTGACTTTTTTGGGTTACCTATTTTCTCTACACAATACCCCTATGAAAGATAATTCATTAACGTATTTGTGATCCTGAAAAAAACTTATTACTTATTCCATGCACTCTCCCCCGGGCCCAACTCGTGAATTCCGTGTTCATCATAACTGCAAAAGCCCTTCGCTGCCTTCAGCTTTTTATGAGAGGGAGCAGGGACACTGGGTCACCCCACCACTAAAAACAACAACAGCTCCACCCACAAAGGGGCAGTAAAGCAATTGAAAAGAATAAAAACCGATAGCACAACATCCCATATCAAAAAACTTAGAGGGTTCTAAGAACAAGATACCCAAACCACCTAAACCCATCCGTTACACACCCAGGCAACACGGTTTAAATCAGGCGCTCCTCCCTTTCCCACTACTGGACTACTATGGCAAGGCCCGGTGCTTAGAGGAAAAACAAATACTATGTAATATTCATAGCTTTGCGAAAGTTTTCGACAAGTGTGACCTGGTGTAAAGCACACAAAAGCGGATAAAGGAATAAGGGGAAAAGTGTAGATGGATCTACAACTCCTACAAATAAAACATAAAGAGTAATATAAACATAAAGTCCCAGGCACCCAGGGTAAAATGCTCTGTTCCACAAGGCACAGTACTCGCTCCCTTTCTATTCCTCATCCTCTTTCTCGACATAGACAGAAAAAAAAGCCATAGCCCGGTCTTCCTTGCAGATGACACCCGATCACCATACAGTGACCTCCATGAAGACACTGCAGACTCCCATGGACATCAATCAAATTTTTTTCGAATGAACAAAAAAAGGGAAAAAATCCGACAGTTTTTAGGTAAGACCATATGCAACAGTTAGGTATCTTTTTTCGAAAACGTTTCGCCTACACATAGGCTTTTTCAGTCGAGTACAGAAAAAGTTGATAGAAAAAGAGACTTGACGATGAAAATCGTCCATCAACCTTAAATTTTTGGGTGGTCAGTCCCTCGTCGGAGAAGAGTATTGTTCCTTTTGTCTGGAATAATATTCCAAAAATGGAAAAATTCTCTTCCCGACTGAGGGCTGACCACCTAAAACTTAAAGGGTTATGGACGATTCATCGTCTTAAAGTCTCTTCTGCTTCTATCAATTTTGCTGTACTCGACGAAAAAGCCACGGTGGGCGAAACGTTTCAAAATAAAGATACCTAACTTTTTCAAGGTCTTACCAAACAAATCTTCAAAGGGCCAATCAAAACATAAAAGTTAAACGAGGAAAATTTCAACTACTCAGATCGGAACACCTGAAAAATTAAAAAAATTGCGGAAACCCAAACAAATTCTAGCCAACAATGGTGCGAAAAAAAAGTGAAGGACCTGGGAGTGAAAATGGCAGAGGTCCGCCTTCAAAGCCACAAAAAAGTATCTATTCTCCGCAAGGAAAGGATAGGATTGATAATGAGAACCTTAAAAACGGGGACCCAAAGCCCTATGTTTCTTTTTCAAAATCGTTTGGCTCTCTAGGAGGAAAATGCTTTACTTTAACGGCCCCCTTAAAGGGCTGGTGACACTGCAGACCTTGAGATGTACAAAAAATTTTCAGGGCACACATAAGTGCGAAAGGCACCTAAACTACTAGGAAGGGTTTGAAGTCCTTTATCTGTTTTCCCTCAAAAGCGGCGAGAGAATCAGAAATAACACTTGAAAGGGTCCGGGGGAAATTGGAAACCAAAACCCTTCACCAAAATCACCCCAAAATGAAAGAAAAAAGACTCGGCAGAAAAAAACATTCCCCATGAAAAGCAGGGGAACCACGAGTACATTGAACCAACACAAAGTTCGGGCCCAAACTGTTCGATTGCCCCCCCAGCTGGCTGCTTAAGAAGGAAAAGGACGGTACCAAAGTCAGTACCTGACCAACCGGGCTAGGTTCGTACGTCACTTGCGTGCGGCCAGCAGTTACGCCGGTTGATCAGACCCGACCCACCATGGGCTTGGTCTCGCCCGGGCCAGGGGGGGCATTGACCCCCGAAACCCCTCAGGTAAACCCGGGTGTTTTGCTTATTTGCTTTCAAACCCAATTTTGTCGTATTTTTTAAACCAGGTTTTTATCAATTCTTTTTCTCACGTGAAAGTCCCACCGAACCAACCTCTCTCACTCAGTATTTATCCAACCAAAATTTGAAACTACCCAAAAACTGGAACCAGGACTGGAGCTAGATAAAATAAGTTTTTCGTTGGGTTTTTTAACCCCCGGAGGTTAGCCCCCCAGATAACCGAGAAAGCGTGCGCATCGAGGAAGCTAACTTTTTTCCCATACTGTGCCAAAAAAAAAGCATTCACATTGCTAAACTCCCAAACTAGTATTTAGTCACTTAGCCATAATACCAACTTACCTCATACTTTGTAATATTTTAAAATAAAGAATTAAACTAAGTCTGCCCGAAATGCCTAGCCATGCTAGGGTTCTAGGGGTACACTCTGTAACATTTTTTAACTACATTAAACCACAAAATAACCAAATTCTGAAAATTTCAACATTGTAATCCTTATAGAGAATAAACTTTGAATTGAATTGAATTGTGGTCCTCAATCTTGTCCCCCAGGATGCGACCCATACCAGTCCACTAACACCCAGGTACCTATTTGCTACTAGTGAACAGACAACAGGTGAAAAAAAAGTCGAAATTTCCACCCGCGGGGAAACGAACCTTGGCCCTCCGTGTATGAAGGGGGAGCTTTACCACCACCCCCGGCCTGGACTGAACCGGGCAGGAGCCAAGACTGGAACCGGGACGGGAGCCAGAACGGGAACCAGATAAACCCAAGGACGGAGCCATAAAGGGCCAGGGGCCTGGTGCAAAACTCCCGCTTCACACACGGAGGGCCCGGGTTCAATTCCCGGCGGGTGGAAACATTTCGACACGTTTCCTTACACCTATTGTCCTGTTCACCTAGCAGCAAATAGGTACCTGGGTGTTAGTCGACTGGTGTGGGTCGCATCCTGGGGGACAAATTTAAAGGGCCCCCAATGGAAAAAGTTAGACAGCCTCATGACGCACTGACTTTCTTGGTTATCCTGGGTGGCTAACCCTCCGGGGTTAAAAATCCGAACGAAATCTTATCTTATCTTATCTTAACTGGAGTTAGGGCTGGAACCGGGACAGAAGCCAGGACTGGAACCGGGACAGGAGCCAGGACTGTAACCAGGACTGGAAAATAGGACGGGAACCCCAGGATGGAACCAGGACAAAAACCAAGACGGAGCCAGGCTGAGTTGGGACTGGAACCAGGACAGGACCGGGACGGAACCAGAATTAAAAACCAAAGAAAAAACCAGCGTTTCCGCTTTTTCTTCTCACATTTTGGCGCGCTTTCCGCTGGTTGTTTTTTTACAATGAAACTTGTCCTCGGGGGCGCGAGTGTCACTCTACTTCGAACTTCACTTGCCTTTTTTAACCACAGTAATATTTACTTGTTACACTAACCAATATCATTTTAAGTAAAGACATAATTTCTAAGAAACTGTTGCAAAATCAACTAAATTTTGGGAAGTCAAAATAATTTTTGGAAACGAATTTGGTATATTGTTTACTTTTGGGGGCACATAAATATTACAGGGCATGAACGCGATTTATATTCATAATTTTTTTTATATGTGAATAGTCTGGGTAAATAACTCTAGGGTTTGTAATCCGAATGATGTGTTAAGTAAAAAAGTTGAGACTTTGGGGTTCCAAAAATCAAGGGGCCCAACTGTCGTTGTGGTTACCCTTTAAAATAAAATTTGCCGGATTTTTAACCGAGGGTTAGCCCCCAGGAAACCCAAGAAGTGGCGTCATCGAGGAAGTGTTATTTTTTTTTGACCTCAGTCTGTTCCCCAAAAGTGACGCCACCGGGCTACTAATACCCAGGGACCATTATTCTGGTGAACAGGAACAGCAGGGGTAAGGAAAAACCCAACGTTTCCCTCCGTGTTGGGGTTAAACCTCAACACCGTGTAACACTTACTGGTAATACTAATGGTATTTAACCACTTGGGAGCCTTAGTTGGGTGTCGAGATCCCCTTGCAGAATGCTGTTGCATTTATTTGACAGTGTCCTTGTGACATGGCATATGTAATATATTAAAAAATTTTTTTTAACTGCTTCATTGGGAATTACTTTATGAAAATCCAAAAAATGATCATGGAAAACATCAACCAGTTTTCTTTTACAATAACATGGTAAATACCAGATACCCCCCCCCCCCCAAAAAAAAAAAAAAAAAAAAAAACATGAATTTTTTCCAGTGGGGTTTTTGGAGGACACGATCAAACCCAACCTAACTTGGCAGTGGAATAAAACACAAAAGCTTAAGGACCCTTTATTACAATTGCCCAACAGGGGCTTTTCAAGGGTGTTTTTAAAAACCCATTTTTGGGGGCCTGTAATAAAATAATTTATGCTTTGGTTTTTTAAAAAAACCTTGTTTTCGGTATTTTATAAAAACCCTTATTTCCCAATGGATGTTAAGTTTGAAAACCCTTTAAAATTCAAAAGACTGATTATTTTAAAATATTTCACCTGCTAAAAATGTTTTAAAATTTTGTTTTTTATATAAAAAATTTTCAAAAATCTTTTTTTAATAAAATTTTTTAGTGCCTATAAAAAACCCCTTTTTTTTACCCAAACCAAAGTTCCACCCAAACCAAAACCCCCAAATTTTACTGGCCCCAAAGGTTTTAATGAAAAATTTAATCAAAATAAGAACCCTTCATTTAACCAAAATTTAAAAAATTTTCCATTCAAACCTCTAAAAATAATGAAATTTTTCTTCCCCAATTCATTAAAAAATTTGAAAAAAATTTTTCTTAAAGGGGGAAAAGGGTTTTCTTTTAAAAATGATCCCCCCCCAAAAAACAAAGCTTTTAAAAACAAAAACCAAACTCCCAGGGAAAAAACTCTTCAAAACAAAGCTACCCTGCATACCCCAAACCCCATAAAGATTAATTTTTAAGTAAAAAATCCCCCTTTAAAGTTTTCCCCTTTTACATGGGTATTTAATATTTTGGGGATATGTTTGAGGGCTTAAAAGTTAAGGGTTTTGGCCTTCTTTTAGGTAGTTTCCAACTCTTCACAGGTATTGGTTCAAAAAATTTTTCCTATATAAAGGGGGGGAAAATTTTTTTTCATTAAATTTCTGACATGGCCAGAACAGCAAAAAATTAAAAGGGAAAAAAAATTTTAATATTTTACTTTTTCAGGGTTTTATTTTTAATTAAAATTTTCACCAAACAAATGTAAAAAGTGAAAAATTTAATAAATTAAAACCTAACCTTGCCCTTTTTTAAAAGAAATTTCCAAAAATACCAACCAATTGGAATTGATTTTAAAAAAAGATAAAGGAAAAATAGTTTTAAAAATTTTTTTTTTGCTTTTGGACAAAAATCATCTCTTCCAAACCCAAAAATAATTTTAATATTTTAATACACCTTTTTCATTGTAATTGCCCATTTTTAAAATTTTTCCCAATCAAAAACACCAGTCCCTCAGAAACAGAAATCCAAAAAAGGGAAAAAAAAAGGAATTTTTAAAATGAAATCCCCAAAACATTCAACCAAAATTGAAAGTGAAGAAAAATTTTTAAAAAAAAATTGGGGAAAAGAAGAGTGCTTAAAACTAAGCTAACCCCAAGTCAGTTTGCTCCTGAATACAAATAGATAATTCAATTTTTTCTGAAATATAATTTTAAATTTCTTATCAAATTTTTTTTTTTTACATTGTATCAAACATCAGCCTAAAGGCCCAAAGGGAGAAGGAAACACAAGGAGGGAGAAAGGAATGAATAATGAAAAGGGATTCTGGGGGCAAAATTCTTTTGCCAATTGAGGTCGTAATGAAATAAAATAAAAATAATAAATTTCAGGGTGATAAATCTTTTTGTTCTTTAAAACAAGGTTTGCAATGTTTATGGTGTTTGAGGGGTTTTTGCCTCAAAATTTACGAAAAATGATTTCATTTAAATAATATGGGAAAAAAATTGAAACTGTAAAATTTTAATGAAAAATTTGGGGATAACTAAACAAAGTTCAATTAACCCCGGAACCAAAATTTAAAAACACAAGGGGATTTTGAAACTAAAATACCGATTACTCGATAAAATATTTATTACTTAAAATTTTTCGCAAAAAAGGTTTATTTTAATAAGTGTATATGGAATATTTTTTAGAAGGGAATTGGGCCGTTAATTTACACCAGGGGTGAAACCTCTTAGCTACATTTGACAAATACCCCCCACTTTAGTAGGGTTTAAAAGTGTTGGTCATTTAAATTAACTAATAAAATGAAACAAATTGTTCCACCGACTCAAAATCAGAAACCCCAAAACAGAAAAACTTTTCAAAAAAAAAAGGAATTAAGAATAACATGGAATCCAAAAGACAATTAACTGGACCCCTAAACCGCAACCCCAAATTTTGCAAACCAGAAAAAAAACACAAAAACTTCAACAAAAATTTTCTTTATACTCCTGACTCGCCAACAAGGGAAAATTTGAAAAACTAAGTGTAAAGAAAATTTTAATCCAAAAAGGAAAAAAATAATGGTAACCAAACCACCCACATTATGAAACGCCAGTTGGCACCCACACGTGTTCCCCCCTCAAAAGGGGCCCCACACATTGGGGATTTTCACCCCGGTTAAAAACCCTTTTCACACCCTACAGTTGAACACCCTACAGTGCCCACCCAACCATTTGTCCCCCACACGGCCCCACCCAAAAAGTGTTGACCCCCCCTACACTGGACAACCCTACAAAGACCACCCTACCCTTTGGGACCACCCCCAAAACATTGGCCCACCCCCACAAGTCAACCACTCTACACTGTGGCCACCCCAAGGTTTGCCACCCTAACTTGTCGACCACCATAAAACCGCAACCAACCCACCCCCATCAACCACCATCACATGTTGATACCCAAAATTGTTCCCAAAACCCCAAATTGGGCCACCACATGTTAACACCCAATGTTTAAAAACCCCCAGTTCAAAACCTAAGTTTGACAACCCCCAAAAAGTCCTTCCCACACGTTGACACCCCCAGGTTTTACCACCCACCGTTGACCACCCTTCAATGTGACCAACCCTCAAAATTTGACCCCCACACGTGTTGACCACCCTACATTTGAACCCACAGTGTTGAACCCCCTCACAGTTGGCCCCCCACATTGTTGACCACCACATTGTTTAATCCCCACATTTTAACACCCCCATGTTTTACCACCCTACAGTGTTGAACCCAAAAACCTGTTAATACCCCACACATTTGACCCCACTGTTTTGGAACCTAATTGTTAACACCCCCCAAAGTTGGAACCCCACCTATGCAACCATTCACATGTTTTCCCTCCAATGTTTGAATTTTCCAGTTAGACCCTGTTTGAATCCAAATTTTTGGGACCCAATTAGATCCACATTTTTTCCAAGAGCCCCCTTTTTGACCCCTTCATTTTCCCCGAACATGTTAATGCCAAACAATTGAATCCAGCAAAATTTTAACCACATGTTAGACATGTGCAACCCTTTAAATCCAAACGTTGACCAAACAAAAAAATGCAACCCTTCACATGTTTGAATCCCAAAGGGTTGACCCCAAGGTTTTAATTCAAGTGTTTACCCTCAAAGAGTTTACCATTAATGTGTTCCCCTGCCCCTTAGGATCCCCACATGTTTGCCGTCCCAATTTGAGGGTCCCAAATGTTGACCCCAAATGTGAGGATCTCACATGTTTGAATCCCATATGTAGAAGATTTTCTTTTCATATTTAGATTCACATGTGAGAAACCCCAAACCTGTTATTTCCCCCCCCCAAATTTTCCCAAACCCAGGTATGAGTCCCCAAATTTTAACCCTCCATATTTGAGGGTCCCCGACCCTTTGAGGGCCCCAAAATTGGATTCCAACAGTTGAGATCCCAAAATGTTTAGATCCCCAAAGTTTGAGAAACCCAAATTGAAATTCCCAAATTTTTGAGGGTCCCAAATGTTTGAGGATTCCACATTTTTGGGGATCCAAATTTAGGTTCAACATATTGGGATCCAAATTTGAGGATCCCAACTTTAGCCCAAACATTTGAGGATCCCAGACAGTTGCAGATCCAAAAATTTTAGGGTCCCCAAAATGTGCGACCCCTGTTAAAACCCAGCATGTTAGGGTCCCAAAGAATCCACATTTTTGGAGATCCCAGATTTTGTTGGGGGCCCCAAATTTGGGATTCCATTGTTTTTGGGGCCCAAAATTTCCCTGGGGTTTAAACCCCAAACATTAGGGGTCCCAGACATGTTTCAGATCCCAATAAGTTGAGGATCCCAACATGTCAGATCCCCAAAATGATGAGGTTCCCGACATTTTTAGACCCAAATATGTTGAGGACCCAGACATGTTGCAGATCCAAACCTGTAGGATCCCAGCATGTTGCAGATCCCAAAAAAGTTAGATCCCAACATTTGAGTCCCAGCATGAAACCAAAATGTTGAGATCCCAAATTGTGGGGATCCCAACTTTGTTCCCAAACAGATGAGGGCCCAAAATTTTAGGGTCCCAAATTGTTGAGGATCCCCCACATGTTGAGATCCCCCCAAAAAAGTGGGATCCCAAAATTGCAGTCCCAAAAATGTTTAGTCCCAACATTTTCAAACCCAACATAAGAACCCAACATGAGACCCAAATTGTTGAGGATCCAAATGTTTTAGATCCAAACAAGTTTGGAAACCCCAAAATGTTTTCCCAACCCAAAATGTTTAGGGTCCCAACATGTTAGACCCAAACGTGAGGATCCCAAAATGTTTGGATCCCAAATTTGTTGGGACCCAACATTTTTGGAATCCCAACAGAGAAATCCCCAAACAGTGCAAACCCAATTGGGTCCCAAATGTTGAGATCCCAAACAAATCCCCCAAAATTTTAAAACCAAAAATGTTTAGGTCCCAAATGTTTAACCCAAACATGTGAACCAAACATGTGCAGATCCCAAAAATGTTGAATCCCCCCTTTGAATCCCAAAATGTTGAAGTCCCGCATGTTGAGATCCCAAGGAAAAAGACATGTTAGATCCCAAGCATGAATAAATGTGTTTAAAAAACCCTTATTTGTTTGGGAACCCAAAAAAGGGTTTGTGATTCCATGGTGTTGGGGATTCTTGTTTGAAACACAAGGTATAAACCCAAAAACAATAAGGATTTTAATGTTGCGATTCCAGAATGTTAGGGTCCCCAAAAAATTTCACCCAATGGCGAGGTCCCAAATTGTTAGGCTCCCAAACAGGCTCTACACATATGAACCAAACATTAAACCACTTTTAGGCCCAGTTTTGAGAATCTCAGTAGTGTGCATCCCACATGTGTTGTGGATCCCACATGTGTTGACCATCCCCCACATTCCACACATGTTGAGGATCCCAAACATGTTAAGGATCCCACACATGTTGAGAATCCCACGTGTGTTGTGGATCGCACTTGTGTTGTGGATCCCACATGTGTTGACCATCCCACACATGATGACTATCCTACACATGATGACTATCCCACATGTGTTGGTCCCATATGTGTTGAGGATCCCACGTGCTTTAAACAATCCACAAAAGTTGAACATCCTATTTGTGCTGAGGGTCCCACAGATGTTGAACATTCCACATGTGTTAAACATCAAACATGTGCTAAGCATCCCACAAGTGTTGATCATCCCATACATGTTGAAAATCCCACATGTGGTGAACGTCCCGCATGTGTTAAGCATCATATGAGAAAAGTGAGAGCAGTTGACTTCATGAGCGTAAGCAGTGAAATAAGTGATGTTACCAAAAGTACACCAGTAAAGCAGATGAATAGAGCGAGACGGAAAAGTAAATCAAGGAGTGAAGTTAGCTCTCAGATGGATCTGTTTGAGGACTTTCTTGTTGACCAAAACAAACATGAGGTGAGTAATCAGTGTTACATACAATTATTTTAGAGATGAGATTGTTTTGCTGTGATTGTAACAATATTGGACAATTCTGTTCATTGTTTCCAATTGAATTGACCTAGCATATTTTATGTATTTCAGAAGTTCCCTGTACATTAAGTTGAGGCCCTACTAAATCAAGGGTTAACTGAACCAGCAATATGAAAGCAGACAAAACCATATCATCCAGCTCTCTCCTTGTTCTTCCAGTCTTCCTTTAACTCTCATAGAAAATTAATTGTTCATCTTGTCCCATTATATTTCTACTGTAACAAAGTAACTTTCTGTACCTTCATCTGTATTAATCACTCCACAAAACTAAAGCTTACTGAATCAGTTTGAGATAATAAATCATACTTTTAAAATTGTTTTTTTTTTTTTTTTTTTTTTCAACAAGTCGGCCGTCTCCCACCGAGGCAGGGTGACCCAAAAAAAGAAAGAAAATCCCCAAAAAGAAAATACTTTCATCATCATTCAACACTTTCACCACACTCGCACATTATCACTGTTTTTGCAGAGGTGCTCAGAATACAACAGTCTAGAAGCATACACATATAAAGATACACAACATATCCCTCCAAACTGCCAATATCCCAAACCCCTCCTTTAAAGTGCAGGCATTGTACTTCCCATTTCCAGGACTCAAGTCCGACTATATGAAAAAATTGTACCTTTCATATATTAGCTACCTTTCTTTTTGTACATATAATTGTAGTTAACTGCAGAAAAAATCCTACTTAATAGTCTATGTCAAAATTTTAAGTAGTCTTTAAGCATTAGGATTGATTTGCCCAAAATGCATTTGCATACTAGTGACTTTCTTTTGTACCTAACAGTGTTTTATTACTACATGTAAACTACATTATCTTTGTACAGCATAAAAAAAATAAAAATTTGAATTTAAGTGAATAAATGTTATCACTTTCAAGGGAAAACACTAAATCCATGGGGGTCATAATAGAACCTGGAGAATATAAGTTAATCAGGTTTGTTCTGAGGAAGGGGAGAACAGCCGAATTTCTCAGATCAAGAATCCTTCACTTGTATCAAGACAGTTTTCCCATGAAGGAGCGGAGTGAACATCCTTTTAAAAGCTGTGTTGAATTTTAAAAAAATAAAATCCAATGATAATGGAAATATGTATAGTACAGTTGACTCCAAAAAAAAGCATCAGTTTCATTTTTAGAAAATTAGTGTCCTGGAAAAGTTCACTATACAAATTGAATAACATGTAAAAATTGAGTTCAAATCATTTGAAAATTGCACCCTACTCAGATTTTGTTATAATGTAGTTATACTTGTTCTGAGCTCTAGAAACATCAGAAAATTGTTGGAGGATGGCCCTGGGCCTCACATTACTAGCTGTAAGCTTATATGGCATATGCTATCATGGCCTTCAAAAATATATTCAGACTTCGTTATTTTTTTAAGTACGTACAGTAAACCCTCATGTAACATGCATGTTAGGTTCCTAAAAATCATATGTAACATAAAATAGTGTTATGTTTAGTGAAGAGTATACGTATGGGAAAAACATGGCTAGACCTTCCTAATTTGCCAGAAAATTTTTTTACTGCTGTCTGTGACCAGGCTTCACCATGGATCAGAGCCTGATCAACCAGGCTGATACTGTTGGCTGCACACAAATCAACTAAGGAACCACAGCCCGGCTGTTCAGGTAGTGACTGTAGGTGCCTGTCCAGCATCTTCTTGAAGACAGCCAGGGGTCTGTTGGTAATTTCCCTTATGTATGCTGGGAGGCAGTTGAACATTCTTGGGCCCCTGACACTTATTGTGTTCTCATAGTGTACTTGTGGAGCCATTGCTTTTTATTGGGGGAGATGTTGCATTGCCTGCTGAGTCTTTTGCTTTCATAGGGAGTGATTTTCATGTGCAAATTTAGTACTAGCCCCTCTAGGATTTTCCAAGTGTATATTATCATGTACAGTGGTACCCCGAGTTTCAGCCATAATTCGTTCCAGAAGGCTGCTCGAGTGCCATTACCGAACGAACTTGTTTCCCTAAAGAATAATGTAAATTAGAGTAGTCCATTTCAGACCCCCAAAAATACACTTACAAAAGCACTTACAAAAATACACTTACATAATTGTTTGAGTTAGGAGGTGGCCAAAACTTGGGGTGCCACTGTATCTTTCTCGCCTGTGTTCCAGGGAATACAAGTCAAGGAACTTAGTCATTCCCAGTAATTTAGGTATTTTATCGTACTTATGTGTACCATGAAGGTTCTCTGTACACTCTCCAAGGCAGCAATTTCTCCTGCCTTGAAAGGCAATGTTAGTGTACAGCAATATTCCAGCCTAAAGAGAAGTGATTTGAAGAGAATCATCATAGGCTTGGCATCCCTAGTTTTGAAGGTTCTCATTATCCATCCTATCATTTTTCTAGCAGATATGGCAAATGCATTGTTGTGATCTTTGATAGGCCTGGCATCCCTGGTTTGGAATTTTCTCATTATCCATCTTACCATTTTTCTAGCAGATGTCGTAAATACATTGTTGTGATTTTTGAAAATGATATCTTCTGACATTATCGCTCCCAGGTCCTTCACATTAGTTTTTCACTATTGTGCGGTTGGAATTTGTTTTATACTCCAATATAGTTTTAATTTCCTCAAGTTTTCCATATCGGAGTAATTGAAATTTCTCTTCATTGAACTTCATTTCGTTTTCTGTGGTCCATTTAAAGATTTGGTTGATGTTTGCTTGGAGTTTTGCAGTGTTTTCGATGGAGGACACTGTCATGCAAATTTGGGTGTCATCTGCAAAAGAAAACACGGTACTATGGCTTACATCCCTGTCTATGTCATATATGAGGATGAGGAACAGGATGGGGGCGAGTACTGTGCCAAATGGAACAGAGCTTTTCACTGTAGCTGCCTCTGTTTACTATTACTCTTTGTGTTCTATTTGTTAGGTAGTTATAGATTCATCTACCAACTTTTCCTGTTATTCCTTTATCTTATTTTGTGTGCTATTACACCATGATTGCACTTGTTGAAGGCTTTTGCAAAGTCTGTGTATAATATATCTGCATTTGTTTGTCTTGCTTCTTAGAACCCTTTCAAAGATTTTTAACTTGTATATTTTCAGTGTTTGTTGTATCTGTAAATTGTGTATACAATATTAACTCATTTATTTTTAATGTTTATTGCAGCATATCTGTAAATTGTGTGTACAGTGCTGTATTAGGTATACTGTAGAGTACTTCAATAATTTTTCTGCAATTTTTTTTTTAACATTCTGATATAACAGACGCTTGGTAGTCCTATTTCTGCATTATATATTGAGGGTTTACTGCATTTCTCTTGGGACCATGGTTAATATCCAGAAACCAGATACAGTGGAACCTCTACTTGCGAGTTTAATCCGTTCCATGACTTTGCTCGCAACTGGATTTGCTCATTTACAGAGTCAGTTTTCCTCATTTAAATTAACTGAAATGCAATTAATCCGTTCCTGTGGAATTCTGTACTTCAATAATTTCGCTAATATCAACTCTACAGCTTATTTATCTATCTCACTTCATCTGATATGACATAATAAACAATATAAATAACATAGAAACCTGATGTATACTCTAAAATGAATAAAATATGTCATTCATGTAATGGTATGGGCGGTGTCAGTGGTGGACGAGAGTTTGTCTGGAGACCGGGCAAAATACTTCATGAATAATTTTGCTAATATCATCTATACAGCTTATTTATATATCACAGTTCATCTAATATGACATAACAAACAATATAAATAACATAGAAACATGATATGTACTCTAGAATGAATAAAATATGTCATTATGTAATAGGTGGAGGCGGCCACAACCACTCCCTCTTTGTTGTGGTAAACACTGCCATCTAGTGACGGCCTTTTGAAGCCATCTATTATTATAATTATTATATGTAGTACATTATTATTATGTATTATTATTATACATATTATTTTATTATTATGATTATTATTGTATTATTATACTACAGTGGAACCCCGGTTAATGATATTTTTTCATTCCAGAAGTATGTTCAGGTGCCAGTACTGACTGAATTTGTTCCCATAAGGAATATTGTGAAGTAGATTAGTCCATTTCAGACCCCCAAACATACACGTACAAACGCACTTACATAAATACACTTACGTAATTGGTCGCATTGGGAGGTGATCGTTAAGAGGGGTCCACTGTATTAGTATTATACATATTATTATTATTATTATTATTATTATTATTATTATTATTATTATTATTATTATTATTATTATTATAAATTTTAATTTTTATTCACACAAAAAATATAAGATTTACTGTTATTCCTTATTGCAATAATTGTATAAATAATGTCAACCCATTCATGACTGCATACTGGAATGGACAATGTTTACTCTTTGTTTATTCTGAAACAGCCAAGCAGTGGACCATTTCTTCTAGGTTGAGCTCTATTTCAAGGTACTTTTTGTCGTGAAAGCAATTAAAATCATATCTATTTCTGTAATATATCTCCATTCTATCAAATGAGACAAAAAAAAACGAGAATACAACCGTAAAAACCATTCAAAATTACCGCAAAAGGGTGGCTAATTGCTGAAAAGTGAACTCCATTATTTATGCTTAGATTTCTTTCATTTTTGGTGTACATTAAGAAGTATCTTTCCATCATACATTGCCCAAGTTTCAATAAGGTAGTCCAACAAACAAATGAGATACAATTCCCGAGGTCTGCTTGCTTGTGGAAATTTTGCTGCGTATGGAAGCAAAAAATCGACCCATCAACTGCTTGTATTTGGAAAAACTTGCACGTGGACACGCTTGCAAGTAGAGGTTCCACTGTATAATGATTAAAATATCCAATAATAACTATAAACATGAGGGAACAAGGCCCAAGATGCTTCCAGAATGCAATTGTACGTGACATGGGTTGTCAGTAGGAGAGAAGGAGTACTCACCTAATTGTGGTTGCAGGGGTT